GAGTGATATCGAGCCTAGGTTTAATTGAATACCTAGGATTTGTTTTGGACTTGGCTAGCCAGTGGATTTTAGAACCGTGGTGAGACGAGTGATGGGGTTATATAAGGGACGATTCTGATTCATGTTGCCTGAATTTTCTCATCCATTTCAATGAGATGGTGATCTGATTGTTCTTGTTTCTTGCCTTCATACTCTGTGTGAAGTTGTGAAAGTAATCTTGCCCGTTATGTCCTAAAGACCTTGTTTTGAAACTTGGTCATTTTCTGATAGTCTGCACTTGTTTAGACTTGTTACGTGAATAGAATTTTTGTGTGCTCTTTTGCCACAATTGTGAAATCTGGGGAGTTGCAGAAACTTTTGTTATTGATCCTGTTAGTCTTCACAGCATAGCTGGTGGAGAATTTGTTCTGTTTGTCACATGACTAGTGGAAGATGGGCAACCCTCTACTTTGTAAGAGATTCAAGGTTATTTTAGCAAATGTTGTGTGTTTTCTTGATGTGTTTTAGGAGCTGGATAACTTGGTAATTCCGTTGCTCCTTATGTTTCAGTATTCTTCCAAGCATTCATATTTGTCACTGATTTTATTCTGTTGCAATTCTTGAGATTCTTACATGTCTTTTGATGGTCCTAGCTTTTAACTCTTGTTAATTGCTAAAATATGTCTTTTGATTCCAATTGCTTTGTTAAACATGAGCTTGTTTATTGGTTAATCTTGTTGTGGCAGAATGTATAAAGCATCCATGCACTTGTTCATTCATTCATGATCCATATATCCATTGGATGCTTATCCGTCTTTGATAAGAGTTCAAAATTTTGTTGTGCTCGTCATTAAATCCATGCCATTCTTTGTCAACTCGTCTTGTGATGGGTTCGTAGCGTAACCCCACAATTGTTCTTTTGTGGCTTTGGCAGGATTTATTTTTATTCGTTGTGCTTTCCATATCACCCCAGCCTCTAGTAGCTTATTTCATGGTAACCCTGTTAAGTAATTAGTGTTCGGCTTTTTAAGATTAGTTGTGATTTGATATCAGAGTGGCGCAGCGGAAGCATAGTAAGCCATGTCTGTTCATAGAAAGTTAGTGGGGCATTTGCCTTGGATTGTGTGAAGCCATTCACCACTTGATATGGTCCTCAATTTGAGTTTTGGGGACAAAACTCCTTTTTAGGAGGGGTGAGTGTAATATCCCAAATTTTCGGGAATATTGAAGTGTAAGTTAAGGACTTGATTGTGAGAAAAGATTGTTTTGGAGCCTAATGTGAATATTTCAAAAGTTGAGGGACTTAAAGAGGGAAAGAATTTGGATAAGGATGGCTTATTTCTTTTCTCCCCTTTCCTCTTTCTTCTCCAGCCCGTTTCTGCTCTTGTCTTCCCGCTGCAACTCGAGAGGAAAAAAAAAAAAAGAAACCCAGCCATGCCTTGAGGAAACCGGTAGAGAGCTTGGTGTTGGCCTTCTTTTCTTGTCCAAGAACCTGATTTGGAACCCAGAAATCTTCCCCCCTTGCTGGAAAAGCCGGATCTGCTTTGCTCCTCCCTTCCTCACCGCCGGCTGCCCTTGTTGTGGGTGCAAATTCTGGGCATTTTTAGGTAAGAAACAGCCATGAATCTCCCTTCTTTAGCTTGATTTAGCTTGGGTTTATCTTAATTGCTCTTGTTCCTCCAATTTTTGGGAAACCCGTGAGTTCCCTGTAGAATTGCCGCCGGCTTCTTCTTCCCCCTGCAGCTCCGATTTTGCTTGCTGGATTCTGGTATGTGGCAGCTTCTCTAAGTCCTAATTTACCCCTTTAATTGTTGAATTTTGTCCATGGATTGGCTGCCCTTGTGATGTCCGAAAGTTTGTAAAAATTGGGGATGAATTTTGATAGCTTAAGCTATGTTTTTAAGCTTGGTTTAAGTGTAAATTAGCTTGATTAATTGCTGTGATTTTTGGAGGAAAATCCCGTGAGATTAGCTAGTGTTTTGGCCAATTTTTTGAAGTTGGGGTTTCTTTTTCCGTTGGGGTTCCTTTTTCCCAGCACTGTTCACCGGTTACTGTTCACACCCCGAGGGCCAACAATTAACGGGGATTTAAGTGATTAGTTTGTGATATAAGAACGAATTGGGAGATATTTGATCATGTGGAAAGTGATAGAAATAGCATTGTGATTAGGAATGATCTTAATGATGATTTCACTTGAATTTGTGATAGTGGTATTAATTCTTGAAATATCTTGATTAGGTTCTTGATCGTCCTGTCAGTTTAGTACGTGAATTGAGTGCTCGGTTTTATGGAGTGAATTCTCGGTTTTATGCAAGTGAGGTAAGTAAATTTATGGTAATGCCCGTACTGTTTTAAAAGCATGTTTTGAGTTGTTTTTGAAGTGGTGGCGGGACTAAACCCGTTTTACATAAGTGTGACTGATTTGAAGTGAAATGTTTTGTGCTTTTCATGAAATTGAGCATGCCTACTTGAAAGTGATTGTGAACTGTCCTGATGATCTGAAAGTGATTGTGAATTGTGATTTTCTTGTGAACTTCTGCCTGTTTTGTCTCCGATATGGTCATGTTATTCGTGTGCCCGCTAGTGGGAGGTTTATAAACGCTAGCACATGTCGACATGTT